CATCCGATGGGCTAACTTGTGAGCAGCCTGGCATCCCTGGAAACGGGAAAGTTAGTGATAAAAGAAGCAATAAATAACTATTGGGAAGAAATATGTGAAGTGCAATTTTTTGTGTTTCCACCAGGCCTCTCTGCACCGGGAGCTCACACTTACGGTTTAAGGCCAGAGTTCTCTGGGTACCTTCCAACCTGGTGGTTCTGTGACTTTTCTGAGGCTGTTGTAAAAAATGTGGGGTTCACAGGTAAAGAAAAAAAAGGTAAAAGTTCCCTTGCTCGAAAGCCAGTCGAGTCCGACTCTAGGGTTGCGGTGCTCATCTCCGTTTCAAAGCCGAAGAGCCAGCGCTGCCCGAAGACGTTTCCGTGGTCATGTGGCCGGCATGACTAAACACCAAGACACACGGAACGCTGTTACCTTCCCACCGAAGTGGTCCCTATTTATCTACTTGCAATTTCTTGCTTTCGAACTGCTAGGTTGGCAGGAGCTGGAACTAGAGACGGGAGCTCACTCCATCATGCGGCACACTCAGGTCTCGAACTGCCGAACTACCGACCTTCCACAGCCTGCAGTTCAGTGTCTTAACCACTTGAGCCACCGCAGCTCAAGTGAACTGTGGGGTTCACAGGTACCCTCCACCAAATTCCACCCCCCCCCCATCCACATACAATCCTCCTGGCTTGAATGGGAGTGCTTTCTAAAAATTCTGCAGAACGTGAACACTTACAGTGAATTGCTGAGTGTAAAGAAGTCCTGCTGATGCAGCCATCTTTTCCTGCTGTCTTAAAGGGGCAGGGTTTCTAGGTAAGCCTTTGCCGTTATCTGAAATGTCTCAAAGGAAGTGAGACACCATCTGTGTAAGAACGGAGGAAATTCTTCTGAACAAACACCAGCTACGGGGGTTTAGGAATGTGCAATGACGGGGGCTTGGGTGACTAAATATTGATCTTCTAGAGCCCTTCGGTGTTCTAATGTGCACTATCGACTAAAGCTGTGGCACAAGCTGGCTTCCCTGTTCACTTCAGTGGGAGGGGCCGTGGCTCAGTGGTCAGTGTCTGCCGGGCATGCGAAAGGAATGCCATGTACAGTTCTGGTCACCATGAGGAATTTCAGACAGGCGATATATTCCGGAAGAGGAACGGTTCCCAAACGGTTTCTGGTCTGTCATTTCAGGCAGAACCGTTTGAGATCCGGTTCCCTTCCGGAATATATTTGTCATTTCATACACAATCGCTTCTGTCCCGTTTAGGAAACGTTTGGCCTTGTACTGAATCAGACTGTTGGTCCAGCAAGGTCAGTCTCGTCCACTCAGGCGGGCTGTGGCTCTCCAGGGTCTCGGGCAGAGGCCTTTCACATCACCTGGTCCTTACTGGCGATGCCAGGGATTGAACCTGGGAACTTCTGCATGCCAAGCAGGTGCTCTGCCCCTGAGCTCTGCATGAGACCCTGGTGAGCAGAGCCAGTCAGAGGAGAAGAGACTCACTAACACGAATCCACTTCGATATAAGGCAGCTTCTCGCATTCAAAAGAACCCATATAAAAAAAGGGGTGAGAGCTAGCTAGCATGGTGTAGATGTCCAGAGTGGCGGACTCTAATCGGGGAGAAGCGGGTTTGATCCCCCACGCCTCCACATGCAGCTGCTGGTGTGACCTTGGGTCAGTCACAAGTTCTCTCGAGTGGTTCTCTCAGAGCTCCCTCAGCCCCACCTACCTCACCGGGTGTCTGTTGTGGGGGGGAGAAGGGAAGGAGATTGTAAGCCGCTCTGAGACTCCTTTGGGTAGTGAAGGGTGGGGTGTATGGCCAACTCTTCCTCCTCCTCCTCCTCTGAGGTGCAGCCTAGCCAGGGGCAAGGGAGGGGTACAGGGCCTTTTTTCCACCTGTGTTCTCCCCTAGAGAAAGGGCTGGCTATCCAGAGGTGACTTACCTGAGGTGGATCGGCAGCATCCTGGACAAGTTCTGCTTTTATCAGCGGGGGGGGGGGTGGAATTGAGCTGCAAGTATTTTCATGGTGTCCATTTCAGACTTTCCCCCCTTTCCAGAGCGGTGTCTGCACGCTTGCAGTAAAAGCCAGTAGTGAAGGAGTCCAACTGGCTAATATTCATGTCAGTCAAGACCAGTGTTCCCTCTAAGCTGAGTTAGTGTGAGCTAGCTCACAGTTTTTTAGCCTCCGGCTCACCTCAGGAAGGAGGGCTCCAGAGCAAACTGAATTATGCGGCACCCAAATCGCTCGCTCACAACCTTAATGCCAGTAGCTCACGAAGTAGAATTTTTGCTCACAAGACTCCACGTCTTAGAGGGAGCCTTGGTCAAGACACCTGTCTTCTACCTTCCCCCTCCCCAAATCCGGGGAGCAGTTTTGCAGCTGTTTTGAAACGGTTTAAAATGGTTCCTTTTAAAAAACAACAAGGGGGAAGATAAGCCTACGTGCGTCGGTTTTTACTGAAAAAATAAAGCCAGAGGCTCCTGAGGTAAAGAAGGAAGGAGCAAGACCAGAGGCTAATCCTTTTGTCTGCCGTACGAGTGGTAGAGCTTGGATGGGAACCACCCCAGGTGAATCACCCAGAGCGTGTCCATGGCGGAAGGTTCCCAAAACAGCAGTGACGCGATCTGTCTCCATTGAAAATACCACAAAGCGAGGGAAGACATTTCAGAGAGAGCCCCAGCACTGTTCATCAGGGTGGCTGCCAACCTCCAGGTTGAACCTGGAGCTCTCCTAGAATTACAGCTGATCTTCAGGCTGCACCGATCGGTTCTCCCGGAGGCAGCGTCAGGTTCGGAAGGTGGGCTCTGCAACATCCCGTGCTGGGTCCCCTCCCCTTGGTCTCTGCCCCCCCCGGCAGACACTGCCCCCAATTCTCCAGGGATCTCCCTACCCGGAGTTGACAGCCCTTGGCTGGGTGTTCAGTGTGAAAAGGAGAGGAGGGGGAAGTAGTGGAAGGGCAAAATGGGGATGCAAGAATCTCGCCTGGAAGTGAGACACAGGGCCGAGAAGCAGCCGCCCTTGAACTAGGCACTCTCCCTTTGGGAATTTAGTAGCCAGCAGTTAATTGGATGTCTTCCCAGCACTAACTGGAGCACAAAGGTCCCTTGTTAAAGCAGAACGCAGGATAAAAATGTGGTAGTCCTCATATCAGCACAGCTGGAGATGAACTTTAGGTAACGCACTGGGTGAAAAATCAACAGGAGCCCAAATGGGTCATATCCCTAGTGGTTGCACCAACCACCCTCACCTCCGTGGTGTTTGGCTTTGTTTCTCTACCTCAGTAGCCTTCCTTGTCTTGTGAAACCTGTTGTTTCACCCAACCACTCTCTAGATGTTAAACTTTTAACGCAGGCTCCAGTGGGCCTAGTATCTGAATGGGTGAACCTGACTGGCAAGGGTTGGCCTTTCTAGGCATTTGGAGAGGGATAGAGTGTGTATGAGGAACTGCGGTGGCTCAAGTGGTTAAGACGCTGAACTGCAGGCTGTGGTCGGTAGTTCAGCCGTTCGAGACCCGAGTGAGCTCCCGTCTCTAGTTCCAGTTCCTGCGAACCTAGCAGTTGGAAAGCAAGAAATTGCAAGTAGATAAATAGGTACCACTTTGGTGGGAAGGTGACAGCGTTCCGTGCGCCTTGGTGTTTAGCCATGCCTGCCACATGACCACGGAAACGTCTTCAGACAGCGCTGGCTCTTCGGCTTGGAAACAGAGATGAGCACTGCAACCCCAGAGTCGGACTCGACTGGCTTTCGAGCAAGGGAACCTTTACCTTTACCTTAGAGTGTGTATGAGAGGGGGAGGGAAGGAGGGAGAAGTCTAGGGGCACCTTTAAGACCAACAAAGTTTTATTCAAAGTAGGAGCCTTTGTGTGCATGCACACTTCCTTAGACAGACAGACTACGGTGGCAAGTATTCTGTTTCCCCCTCCTATCCCTGAGGCTGTCTATAGGGAAGCAGTTCTTGGTTTTATAATTTCATGGGGAACCACTTATGTGGGTAAGAAGGGGACTGCTATTTCTAGAAGGAATGTATTGGTTACATAAGAAGGTAGCTGTACTTGGCTTTCCTTCCTTCCCTAAAGAATGCAGTCAGTTCAGATTCTCCCTGCTCAACTATTGTAAACAGGATTGCTCAGATCTGCCGGAATGATGCAGGGCGTCGAGGGAAGTATCTGTTGCACCACAAGGGAGGTGCAGAAAATCTTTGTTTTGCAGGAAGCGGGCTGCGACCACACGCGCCAAACGATGCACTTCCAATCCACTTTCAGTGCACTTTCTGACTGGATTTTCCCGTGTGAACTGGCAAAACCCAGTTGGAAAGTGCGCTGAAAGAGGATTGGAAGTGCATTATTTTAGTGTGTGTGGTTGCAGCCTGTAGATTCAGACGGGTGAGAAAATTCGAGGTGGAAGCAGGCAGGGAGGCCAACCGGAGGAGTGCCTCGGCTTGGGTGGCCCAGGCGAGCCCGATCTCGTCGGATCTTGTAAGCTAAGCAGGGTCGGCCGTGGCCAGTCCTTGGACGGGAGACTACCCAGGAAGTCCAGGGTCACCACACAGAAGCAGAGAGTGGCCAAACACCTCTCTTGCTTTGAGAACCCTACGGGGCTGCCATAAGTCAGCTGCGACCTGGCAATACCTTGCACTGCCACCACTGCCACCACTCACGCACAGTGTTCCCATGGTCCTTGGTGCCCTCCAAGCTCTGCCCATACGCAAGCAAGCAAGCCATGGAATGCAAAGATCTTGCAAAGCTCTTTGAAACCGTAAGATCTGTCCCTCTGCCTACTGTGAAGGGTTTAGGGCTGGAAGCAATCCTGATTTGCACCACCTTGTGTTTCTTCCGGCGAGGTGGAATGGGACTAGGAACTGGAGGAAGGTCGAGCGGTCTGTTGTCGGTGTGAATAAGGCGACACGCCCAACTGTGCTGGCCCACGGAGGGCGGGACTATGCTGGTCTTCCTCCCAGCTTGAAGGTTACACTCCTCCCCCGGATATGGAGTCCCACCTTCTTTTTCTAAACTTTCCTCGCAGGTAAGGTGGTCCTGATCAAGGGGAACATCGGCAACCTGCAGGAAGTGGAGGCCGCGGTGAGAGGAGCCCACGTGGTCATCCACGCGGCCAGCCTGGTGGATGTTTGGGGCCGGTTCCCGCCCTCAAAGATCGGAGAGGTCAACGTACACGGTAAGCACTGCGAGGGTCCCAAGGTGTCAGACTCCCATCGCATCAACAAAGCACACACTTGTAGAAGAGGTTTTACTTTTATTTGAAGTAATAGGTGCATAACAGGATCACTGTTCAGAATGAGCCATAATCATGGATCCTAAGTATGTATTGGCCTATTTCTAGGGCTTGCTTGACTGAGATAATGGTAGTGCTTTAACATGGTGCTCTGGAATCTGGTTGTGGGGAGAGGAAGGGAAGGGATTGTAAGCCGCTCTGAGACTCCTTTGGGTAGTGAAGGGCAGGGTATAAATCCAATCTCCTCTCCTCCTCCTCCTCCTCCTCTTCTTCAAACTTGAGAGCCAGTTTGGTGTAGTGGTTAAGTGCGCGGACTCTAATCTGGGAGAACCGGGTTTGATTCCCCACTCCTCCACTTGCACCTGCTGGATGACCTTGGGCAAGCCATAGTTCTGGCACAGCTGTTCTTGAAAAAAGAGCAGTTTCTGTAAAGAGCTCTCTCGGCCCCACCTACCTCACAGGGTGTCTGTTGTGGGGAGGGGAAGGGAAAGGAGTTTGTAAGCCGCTCTGAGACTCCTCTGGGTAGTGAAGGGCAGGGTATAAATAAAAGAAGAAATTCTTCTTTCTTTCGAGTGTTCCAAAATGGCATATTTTCTAGAAGAAGAAAAAATTACGTCTGCTCTTGCCAGGCTAAGTCATTGGCTGGTCAGTTTATTTTGTGGAAAATTAAATGAAAACAAGTTTGCAGGGCTGGGGAAATAGGAGCTGCTGATCGAGGTAATTGGGAGGGGAAAATCTGACAGTCAGGAAGCCGGAGCTTGGAAAAGGGCAAGGAAGAGGAAGCCAGCTGGGTTGCTTTGCCTGCCAACTACTGAACGAACACCTTCCAAGAGTGGTAATCCTTTCCAAGAAGTAGATCCAGCACTTAATGATTAAAAGCAGCGCTTTGTGTCTGTAGCTCTAGATTCGTGTTCAGTAGCGCCTTCGAGACGCACAAGGTTTTTTGGGCTACGAACGTTCGAGAGTCAGATACCTGCAGGAATGGAGATCCCGGAGTCCTAAAAAGGTGTCGGGATTCAAAAATACAATGCATCTTTTCTTTGCAACACCCGTCTCATCTTCCGACTGGGATAGAAGGACTCGGGGCCCTCCATTTGTTGGGTTTTAAAAATTGGTTTTTAGCAGAGATAAAATAGCTTAGAAGTGCCAGAGTAAAATAATTCAGACTTCAGAGTCAGTGTGTGTTTAAAATAGAAAGTTTTTACTACATCCTAGCATAGGGAAGGGTAACTGGGATGAAAATAACAACGGAGCTAAATTCTTTACACTACAAAGACAAGACTAGAAGAGAGATAATGGCTGCTCTTCTTTCTGCTTCAGAACTCCAAACAAAGACGGGAAGAGAAGCCATAAAATGCTAAAACACTTTGACACGATCACTCCAATCAAACTCCTAGCAGGGAGAAGATTCCCCAGGCTTCTACTCCTAAAACAGCATTGGCTACATGAAACACATGTGACTTCCTGTGAGCAACACAAACAAACATTTAACCCCAGATACACTGAGTGTAATTTTAACTTGTAATACCCAACACCGTTCCTGCCTGGATCTGACAAAGGAAGCTTTG